TAACTTTTACTTTCCTGAGAGAGTCTGTTTTTGTTGTTTCTGTGTATGGTTTCAGGGCTGACCCCTTTGTATTGGGTAACCAAAAAGGGGGCACATCCCTGGGGAAGGTAATTAATTCTCCTTCCTTCCCAGCAGGCATTGGTTACCTGTCTAGATGGGGGAATTTTCTCCCTTCTCTGTTAATTTGTCCATTGTTATTGCCATTGTTCTTGTTTATGCAGCTCTTCTAGGAGAGTCTGTTTCACAGCACATTCCTTTTGTGAAGCCGCAGGGCGATTGGTAATGAAAAGTCCCCAGACTATCTTAATACAAAATATACAGCTTTAATAAACAGAAGTAAGACTTACACCAGCTTACACCAGAATCCAAACGATCCATCCGGATGCAGGAGCCAGGCAAGAGAGAACTAGTGGGAGCGTGCTTGCAGGTTTATAGGAAAGCTTTAGCCTAAGAGTGACACGCCCCACAAACAGAAAGTGATTGGCTGAACTCCACTATCACTTTTGGTTCCAACTCTTCCAAACTTTCTGCTCCTTTTTTCAAAATGTTTCTGAGCCATAGACTCAGGAGTTATGTAGATGTGTCAATTGGGGCTGGGCTTCCCATGATCAGCTGATCTCTGTACTATGTCTAGGTGTGTGTTCTGTGTATATTGTAAAGAGAGGTTTCTGTATTGAGCTACGTGTATTTGAAGATTTGAAGGTGGAAACCATAAATGAGAGCAAACTGGCAGCATTTGTGTTCTGGGTCTGGGTTACTTTACTTAATATCATCTTTTTGAGGTTCCAGCATTACCTGCAAAATCCATGCTTTCAATTTTATTTAGTTGAATAACATTCCATTGTGTACATGTATCACATTTTCATTATCCATTCATCTATTGCAGGACCTTTCCTGGCTACTGTGAACAGGGCAATTGAGATCATTGCTGAGCAAACATCTGTGGAGTAATGTGTGAGTCCTTTGGTCATGTGTCCTAGAGTGATATAGCTGGGTCATATAGTTTTTTAGGGTTCTCCGTACTGATTTCCAGAGTGGCTGCACAAATGTGCGTTCCCACCAATGAATGAGGGTTCTTCTTTCCCACACAGCATTGCCAGTATTTGTTGTCAGTTGTTTTATTGATCTTAGCTGTTCTGCCTGGAGTGAGATGAAAGCAGCTTTGACCCTTACATCTAACAGAGGATTAATATCCACAATACACAAAATTTTTTTTTAAAAAGTGGAATCATCGAAAAGTGTGTGAAAAGGTCATATGGTTACTCTGCCCAGAATGGAACAGCACATCCTGGTAGGCACTGCTGAGTCACCCTGGTGTAAACAGCAAAGATTGGCTAGAGGCCAACCCATAACCATATGTAACTGATTCTCCTTGGAAGACTTATTTTTTTCTAGATGGGAAGGTGTCTGCTAATGTTTTTCCAAATGGTTTTGTTGTCAAACTTTCTTCTAAATATTCATATTTATGCCATAGACAGTATCATACTGAGCCTTCCTCAGAGAACTGTTTGCAACAGTAGGCAATGGTTAATACAGAATCTACACCTGGACAAGGTTCTGAGAAGTGATGACGGACCATTCAACTCTCAATATGGTACACATTTTACCCTCTCCACAGTTCAGGGACATCCTGGTAGAGAGGTGGGAATAATGTATTGTTGATGTCTTTCTGTCCTCTGAAATTAATACCTGATCAGATGAATAAGTGACGGAGAGTGTTTCTCATTCTATCAGCCTTCTATTTACTTTGACATTTTTTCTCTACTTTTAAAATTTCAACAACTTGGTATTTGCATAAATAAGACAGGTTGACCAATGGAACTGAATCGAAGACCCAGATATTAATTCACACACCTATCTATGAACCCCTGAATTTTTCCAAAAAAGCTAAAATTATACAATAGAAAAAAAGAAAGCATCTACAACAAATGGTATAACTTCATAACTGGATGTCAACATGCAGACGAATGAAAATAGATCCATATCTATCCTGATGCACAAAACTCAAGTCCAAATGGATCAAAGACCTCAATATAAATCTGGCCACACTGAACCTGATGAAAGAGATAGTGGGAAGTAGCCTTCAATCCAAGGGCATGGGAGACCACTTCCTAAATATAACATCAGTAGCACAGACACTGTGAGCAAAAATAAGTAAATGGGACCTCCTGAAACTGAGAAGTTTCCGTAAAGCAAAGGACACAGTCAATAAGACAAAAGTCAGCCTACTGAATTGGAAAAGGTCTTCACCAACCCCACATCAGACAAAAGACTTAACTCCAACATATATGAAGGACTCAGGAAATTAGACATCAAAATTCTAAATAACAAATTTTAAAAAATGATGTACAGAACTAAACAGAATTCTCAACAGAAGACATTTAAGGAAATGTTCAACAATCTTCGCCATCAGTGAAATGCAAATCAAAACAACTCTCAAATACCATCTTATACCTGTCAGAATGGTTAAGACCAGAAACACCAATAATAATGTATTCTGGAAAAGATGTGGAGTAAGTGGAATACTCATCCATTGCTGGTGGTAATGCAAACTTGTACAACCACTTTGGAAATCAGTATGGTGGTTTCTTAGAAAATTGGGAATCAACCTACCTCAGGAGCCAGCAATACCACTCTTGAGCATATATCCAAAAGATACTCAATTATAACATAAAGATATATGTTCTTAGTAGCATTATTTGTAAAAACCAGAACCTGGAAGCCACCTAGATATTCCTCAGCTGAAGAATGAATAAAGAAAACATGGCAATTTATACATTAGAGTACTACTCAGCAGTCAAAAACTAATGACTTCTTGAAATTTGCATGCAAATGTGTGTTACTTGAAAACACTTATATCCAAAAAGATGAATATGGTATGTCCTCACTCATAAGTAGATATTAGCTATAAACAAAGGATATTGAGCCTATAATTCATGATCCTAGAGAAGCTAAGTAACAAGGTGAACCAAAAGGAATACATATATAGATTCACTGGAAAGTTAAAATAGACAAGATCACCTGACAAAATTGGGAATGGAGGGGTGGGGCAGAAGTGAGAGTAGAAGGGGAAGAGGAGGTGTGAAGGAAAGGGGCACGGAGAACATAAGGGAATTGATAGTCGAGATGGAGGAAGGATATAAATGAGAGCAAGGAAAGAGATATTTTGATTGAAGGAGCCATGATGGGGTTAGCAAGAAACCTGGTTCTAGAGACGTTCCCATGAATTCATAAGAATGACCACAGGCAGCTAAGACCCTAATTAATAGAGGAGGGAGTGCCCGAACTAGCCTTACCCTGTAGTCAGACTGATGAAAATCTTAAATATCACCATAGAACCTTCATCTAGCAACTGATGAAAACAGAGATTTGGAGCACTGGACTGAGCTCCCAAAGTCTGGTTGAAGGGTGAGAGGAATGGAAGTTTGAGCAAAGAGGTCAAAACCATGATGGGTTCACCCTCTCAAACTGTCTACCAATGGGAGCTCACCAACACCAGCCAGACTGGTAAGGAACAAGCATAGAACCAATCTAGTCCCTTTGAATGTGGTTGACAGGTACATGGCTGGGGCAGACTGAGGGGCCACTGGCAGTGACACGAGTATTTATCCTTACTGCTTGTACTTGCTTTTTGGGAACCTAGTCTCTTTGAATGGGCACCTTGCTCATCCTAGATATAATACGGAGGGCCTTGGACTTTCCCCAAAGCAATGTGCCTTGCCCTCTCTGAGGAGTGGATGCTGATGTGGTAGGGGCATCAGGAGAGGGGATGGGAGGAGGAGAGGGAGTGGGAACTTGAATTGGTATGTATAATGAAAAAAGATAGTTTGCTTTCTTTTCAAAAAATAATAAAATAAAATAAATACTTCAGGTCATTCTGTTTGTCAGTTTTGGTCTAACTTCCTGAGCTGTCCTTGCCTATGCCTGGGTCACCATTTCCTCTGTTTTCCTGTTACTAGTTTCTATTTCAGCACTTATGGTTGTTGTTATATTTTTGAAATGACTTTTTGGGGGATGTGGTTGTTAGTCTTGTTTGATGTCCTATACAAATAATGCAATTTTCTGAGCCCAAATTCATTATTTTTCTTCCTTTAACATATTTTGACACAGTAATTGTAAGGCTGTCACTGAATGCTTTATTTTTGACTCTTTTAATATGTTCCGTTGGTTATATCCCTTTTCATACCAGTACCATGCTGGTTGTGGCACCATAGCTCAGGAATTTAATTGGAAATAAGGTATTGTGACACATTTTGGAAAAAAATTTATTTATGATTTTATTTATTTTTTCTATTTTTAATAAATTTTTAATTGCTTTTATTGTGCTACACATTTTTTCTCTGCTGTACTCCCTCCTTCCCATCCGCTCTTCTACCCTTTTCTGTGACCCCCATGCTCCCAATTTCTCAGGGGATATTGTCTTTTTCTATTTCCTATTTGGATCTATGTATGTCTCTCTTAGGGTCCTCTTTTTTGTATAGGTTCTCTGGGATTGTGAATTGTAGGCTGGTTTTCCTCTGTTTTGTGTCTACAAGGTACTTATGAGTGAGTAGATATTATATGTGTCTTTCTGAGTCTAGATTAACTCATTCAATATGATTTTTTCTAGATCCTTTCATTTGCCTATAAATTTAAAGAGGTCATTATGTTTTTCTGCTGTGTAATACTCCATTGTGTAAATGTACCACATCTTCTTTATCCTTTCTTCCGTTGGGAGGAATTTAGGTTGTTCCAGGTTTTGCCTATGACAGATGATGGTGCTATGAACACAGTTAATCACATGTCCTGTGGTACAATTGAATATCCTTTGGGGACATTGCATGGCCAGAGAAAGACACTCTCCTTTCTTCTCCAGAGAGGGAACTCAATTGCCAGGGACAGACACTCTTCTTTCTTAGTCTCACTTTAAGGTTGTGTGGGAGGCAGCTCTGTGTGTATCCTAGAATGGAGGGTAGCAGGCCTCTTAAGCCCCCAGTTTTAAAAGATCATACAAAGAAATATCAGTATTTGCAGTTAATTTAATGAGTAGAAAGAAATGCCTTTGAGATTCCAACAATAGTCTTGCACTTTATAGACAGAAAGATAAAATCAAGAAAGAAAAGTTATGATTTGTGGTATCAGCTGCTGACTCGTGATCATTCTTTTCAGTCCTGTGAGCCAAAGGTCTTATGGAACTTTTAGGCAGACTGTGGACAGTCTTTACTGTTGAATATAGCATCCTGAAAAATAAATGAGGAAGTGACTTAAATTTTGAACTTTAACTAAGAGCCCAATATTGAAAAGAAAAAATTCTTGGTGTTTTCTTTTTATTTTTCAGTATTTTCAATTACTATTAAATATTCAAAAAATTTCCAGAGAAAATCTGATTAGGTGCATGTGTTCTATCATTTAAGAGACAAAAAGCCATGAAAAGAACAGGCGTAACAAACACAGATGTTTTTGGATTTGTCTTCAAAGATTCCCCTTGATTACCTTCCCCTCTAACTTTCAACCCCCTCCTGAGTCGTTTCCATAGGAATTTATTCTATATCCACTCAGAAGCTAGAGGTTTCTGTGGCTGAAAATATCCGATGACCCTCAGTTTGTACTACTGTGCTACTATTCTCTTACCTCTCACTCAATTGAAAGCTTGCTTAACAGAGAGGGTGGCTTTTTAAATTTCCTCAGTGCTCTAAAAAATGAGATTTGTTAGAAATGAATAGAGAGCCCTCACCAGTACTTTCAGGCCCTGTGTATTCCTGCGGTTTTAGTTAAAACTGGGCATATTTCTAAGATTTGGCACCTGTGGGATGCTTAAATGGAACAGGGACACTTTAGCTAAATTCTTGGAGCTACATTTTTATGCTTGAAAATAGATTATCATTATTATTATTATTATTACTATTATTTAAAGAGACTTTTAGTCATGACATTCTTATACTGGGGTCTTCTGCACTTGCACTGAGTTGGTGTCAAATGCAAGGGTTCCTGGTCACTGACACAAAGCAAGACTACTTAAGAGTCAAGCATTTATTTCTCTGACTAAAGAATTTGTGGGCTTTCTCTGTGTCGTGACTTGCTAATACGTGTGAGAGAGAGAGTGTGTGTGTGTGTGCATGTGTGCACGCATGCCCATGCACATGCATACATGCATGTGTGTACTTGTGTTTGTGTGATTGGGAGGTAATGGATAAGAGAGTGATCTCCTTTGTGTGTGTGTTTTTCTATAATTATTTTAAAAACGTTAAAATAATATGGAATATCAGCTGTGTCTTTCAATGACTTTCCCGAACAAATTGTCACCACTAAATCAAAATATTTATGTTTTTCAAAAATAATACACAGACAATGTTTGCTTATACCTTATCAGTCACAACGTTGGAAATTGCCATTCCTCATTAGTGGATATATATATATATATATACACACATGTGGATATATAAATATGTATGTGTATATACACAAATATAAATGTATAAATAACATAAGTATGTACATATATGTATATATGATATATGTATATATGTTACATCATACTATATATAGTAATATAATACAAAAAAGGGAAAGTGTATAATTACCACCATCACTTTAACATTGGCCAGAGTCTCCTCAGACTGGTCTAGGAAACATTGTTTCAATTTGGCCACAGCCTTTTTGTCGAAAGGAAGAAATACATATGACTTAACCACGCCCTGAAAATCATCCACAGACACTGATGAGTTCATAATCTGTGCAACGACGTCATCCATTGCATGGCAACCAGAACCTGGAAAGACACGGCATTCATCACTGGAGGTCTGAACTCGTTAGGGGTTACCTCTCATCATGAACACCTTGTTGAGTACAAGTAGAGACACAGATAAGCACAGGTGTGGGCACTGCCAAATCTGGGACAGAAACTGCAGGTTGCAAGATTCCACTTAGAAACTGCAAACTCTGTCCCTGACATCCCAGCACAAAGAAGCCAAACCTTTACACACCCTTCACTGAAAAGGACATTGAAGAGATGACAGGCTGTTGGGCTGGGTATGGTAAGCATTTTGGATCTTTGTTTGGTCAAAGCCTGTCACATTTTGTTTCTGTTTTGAGAACATCATTGAATATGTTCAAACATCCTACAACTATCACGGCTAGAATAGTATCTGCTTTGTTGTGTTAACTCGAGCATCTGAATCACAGAGCAACTTAAACAGACACTCTGGTACTTGAAGTGACCTCATGCAGAAAATGGAAGCAGACTGCAAGATTCCTTTAGTTTCTGCAAACTTGCCCCTAACAAGCCAACAAGGGACGACAAACCTCACTGACCATTGTCAGCAATGACATGCAAGAAATGAGAAGCATTGTTCTGATGGGACACAGTGAGCTGTTGTGTCTTTCTTTCTTGTAGCCATGATGCATCTCAGTGCTATTTTGTAAACCCCATGAAGTATTTTACAGTAGTTTATAAACATTAGCAATTATCACCGTTGACTCTATCATCTGCATCAAAAGTATCATAAACTATAAACTCTTGTACTTGAAGTGATGTCATTGTTCAGCCAGTGGAAGAGAAAGAGGTCAGGGTTAGCCATGATTTTCCTATCAAGTTAACTGAGAACTCCACCTTCTTGTCATTTTGTACCAGCCTCTCAGATAAGTGAAGTAGACATCATAAATAAAGCAAATTATACAAAGTCTATGACACTTGTGAAATGTTTGTACTGACTACATTCTCAGGGACAGAGCTTTACTTCTGTCGTTACTTTAAGTGGACTTGGGGAATGTGAACTCTCCTCTCTACCAGCAGGACTAGGATGTAAGTGACCCAATGTGAAGGGGTCAGAACAAGTTTTTGCAGTCTGTTTTATGACTCACAAACTGTTTACTCCTCGGTCACATGCTACAGTTTGAGAAACAACTCCTTCCACAGTTAAAGAGATTCCTAAGTACAATTTTTAGGAAACCCATTTAGGTCCAGGGTCATTTTTATTTTTCCCATATTCTGCCAAATATCTTCTATCCAAATACAGGATTTCAGGAGAGCTATCACCACCTTGGGTACCACCTGTGTGGTAGTGACACATCACACACAGCCCCAGCACTGTAGCCCAACCCGCATCTGTGATGCCTCTTTGACTTTCTGGATTAGTGTTGGGTTTCAGAGCTATTGAGTCAGACACTTTGTACCACTGTTGGCAAGTTCTAGAGCTCAGGCACTAGGGCTTCTTCCCATAGAACAGAAACTGTGTTGTCTGAAAGCAGCCCACCCCTCCACAGAACCCACCGCCCACCCCTCTACAGAACTCACCTCCCACCCCTCCACAGAACTCACCTCCCACCCCTCCACAGAACTCACCTCCCACCCCTCCACAGTCCTCACCTCCCACCCCTCCACAGAACCCACTACCCAAACCTCCACAGAACCCACAGACCACCCCTTCACAGAACTCACTGCTGGCATAGCAGCAAATGGGGATGGCGGCCAGCATGAAGACCAGGACCAGCTTCATGTTGAGGAAGCCCTTGTGGGTTGGTCTTTGGTACAGATGGAGATCGGGTACTTTCTGCAGTTGAGACCTCAGTGCTCCGCTATTTATTTCTTGGGCAGGCACTTTAGTGTCACTCAGGAAGTAAGAACGCAAGTCATAAGAGCAACGTGACATTGTAGCAGACAACACGAGAGAACATGAAACAGAGCCAAGGAAGCCTATGATTTGTTTGTACAAAACATGGAAACAAATTAAGAATAACAATTGGTGAGCTTTCACTAAGCTCTTCCAAAAATATTGCAGATCACAGCACTGTAGTTTGATTTTTGAAAAGATACTCTCTTCCCCTTCATACCCTCTCTCCTTCATTTGCTCCTCTTCATCTTCTGGGTTCTTCTTCATCTTCTTCTCACTCCTTTCATTCTTTCCCTTTCTTCTCCTTCTTCATCTTTCTTTGCCTATGCCCTTTTTTGTTCTTTTTTATTTTCTAATTTTAATCAGCTTCATTTTATTTACACCTGTTTCTGATGGGCCCAGTGGCTAGGGTCAGTGCATAACCACACACCCTTTTGTAGGCAGGGTTCCTGTTGACCCTCTTCTTCTTTGACTTCCAGAGGAAGTTTATTGCCCACAGATCCTTACTGAAGAGTCTTACAAGGAGTCATTTTATAAGATGAACATTCACTGTTCATTCCAGATAACTAAACATATTTCTCCTTCTGTGTTAAAGGTCTAGGGTGTTACTTCTCCTGAATCAAGGACACTGTCAACTATTAGGGATCCTTATTATTTCATGGGTGGGAGGGATGATGGCGTAGGGTGAGTGACCTGTGGTTCATGCAGATGTGACTTCAAATCCTGGGGATAGCGTCTGCTCATGACTTACCATGTCTTATCATGGAGCAGCTGTTCTGTCTCTCTGAGCTTCCTTTTACCCATGGTAAAGTGAGTATAGATAAAACTCTGCTGAAGATTTATCAGGACAGCAGATTCAGCATCCGAGTAACCTTTCCAAATGGCCTATATAACCACTGATTTGTGGGAGTTTTCTACTGCTGAATCTGTGGATATTAGTATGATAGTCCCTTAAGTTAAAAAAACAAGCAAATCAACAAACAAAAACAATAAAAACAAACACAAAATTACTATGAAATCCAGATAGATCATGTGGGTATATAATCGAATACCACAGATGGCATGCAAAACCATAATTATTATAGCATTAGTAAAAATAGCCAAACTATTAGATCAGCTTGGATGTTTATCAGCATATCACTAGACAAATAAAATGTGGAATTCATACACAATGGAGTTTTATTAGAAGAGAATGTAATTATGTCACTTACATGGAAATAAATAGGCAATGATATTATCAAATTAAACAAAAGATAATCTGAAAAGAGAAACATCACATTTTCTATAATATACACACCATATATGTATATATCTATCTATATTTGTGTGACATGGAAGTGGAGGATTTACTGTCTGTAGTCTAGAAGAAAAAGGAGGGCAATGATGGGACCAGATAACCAAAGTAAAATGATGCATTTGTGTGAAAATCCATAATAAAATTCATTGTTTTGTTATCACCTAACACTTCAAATTATGTAAAGAGAAGCAGGCTTTCACAGGAAGAAGTATTCAGGTAAAAAATCCAGTTGGAGTTTTCTTCCAGGCATTAAAACATATACCAGTCTGTTGTGGAAGACGTAATGAAAGGGCATCTTCTATGATCTATTACCTGCATTGAATGTGCACTCAGTTTGGAGAATGCTTTGTCCCAAGTCTTGTATAGGTCACTTTTTAATTTGTGAGTCTATACAACCCAACCAGTAAATGTATGATTTCAGAGAGAGCGACCTAGCAAGTGAGAGTTATGTGTGGGAAGAACAGTACTTTATCAATAAGAACAATGATGTCATCAATTGAAGGCACTATCCTTTACAGAGCATGGGGTAGCATTTTGGAGAAGGTACTGTTGTCTGGAATGATGGTGATACTGTGGAGCAGATTTGGGAGTAGCTTCTAGAAGGAATAGGATAGGATATGCTTAAAGGAAAAATGCCACCTGCTAATATCCAAAATGGTGGGAGAGGTAGAGAGTTTGAAACAAATTGGATAACAGGATGTTTGTGGATAGTGACACATGAGTAACACAATTAGAAGAAAAATAAAATTGATTCCAGTATAAAAAAATAATGGGAATTGAGCCAGAGAGACAAAACCCATTCTTAATGACCTACAAATGTTTTATTTAATGTTACTATTATTTTGTCATTTCCTTCCCATCATTAAGCAGGAGCAGAAGTCAAAAATGAAATTGATATAGTCAAGCACATTAAGTATAAACATGTGTCTTATGTGTGTACTTTTATGTCATTGTTCTTGTTGGGATTCATTCAATCCAAAGTCAAGTTATGTGTGATATTCTCTCTTTGCCCAATCCTTAACTGGGCTGTTCCTGTTTCCCAAGTCCTTCCCAGTGGACCTGTTTTTTTCAGCCAAATAAGACTCCTTAAAAGGTTACTTGTTCATAAGTAAAATCCTCCACATGAGACCCAGGTTTCTACAAAGGAGAGACCATCTCTTCTTTAACCTGAATGATTTATCAGGACATTTAATGCAGGTTTTTATTTGAGAAACCAAATATCAAAGATTCAAACCAGAAAGATTCATTTGAAAATTCATAAAGTCAAATACTCAGCATAAAGGTGCTGTTGATATTTCTCCATTTCCAAAAATGGAAATGGAACAGTGGTTCTGTTCAAACTTCCAATACTTCAGGGTCTGGAGGATGCCAGCATCCTTCAATATCCCACTCTATAAAACAAATATTTATGGATCACTGACTAGTCCAAAGTGCTGCACTCTTTACATTGTTTCTGGGTTGTGCATTCTGTGACTTTTGTTTTGGGAGATAAATAAAATATTTGATGAGGAACAATCATATTTATATGATCATTGTCTCCTGTAAGACATAGATTTACATTTTTGGTACTTTACAGTCCTAGCCATCTTTAATAGAAGGAAATCATATTGTGTATGAGACATTTTGTCTGAGAATCCCACATCACATGTGGTGTTAAAAACATGTATACCAACAAAAGAAAGCATTATCCTACTTAAATGATATCTTCACGTTTTCTGATTATAAGTTACAGATATGTATCTGCTTCACAGTATTTGGGAT